ACACTTACCTACCCCAACTTGCTCTTTCTTGAACTCTTCCGGTCTCATTCTGGTATTACTGCTCTGAACACTGATGATTCTAAATTCCCGATGGTGTCTGGTATGCGGCTTTCCCAGTAAGAATATTCCAAGGTCATTGACAAGAATCGGACATTGTTTTCACAGTTGAGTTACGTGCGATTTTCACTTTTATAATATATATTGCAACCATCTCTGCCTGGTTCTTCATAGTTGTGGAGGACTGCCAAAGTTCCTTGCAAACTGTCCAGACATATGACTTCCTTCATACCATCGTCCATAGTCTACAACTATGGTTGTCACATTTCTAGTAAAGAAGTCGTTGTTTTGGTGGGTTTCTGGACAAGCCGAAGTTCACAGCAATGAACAGGCAGTCTCAGGAGCTTAGTCAGCTGTTCATGACACCCAAATTCGAACAGGGTCATTTTTTGATGTTCTCTGAACAACTCGGTAGACAACCCGGGGAACCTTTTATTTCCCCCCGGCCCCCACCGCAAACCATAGTTTACTATCAAATCCTTTTTGGATTCTGGCCAAACTTTTTTCCCCCCTGGTCAAGTTTTTGGGGTCGGGCCACTGGTGGCTCACTCATGGATACCCCACCCGACACAGGGGGTCCCTCATGGGTTAAACCAACCCCAGACCTGGTGGCTCACTCAAGGATGGGCACACAGCCACAGGTGGCTCACTCATGGATTTCCACACAGATACAGGGGCTCACTCATGGTCCAAAACAGACACTGGTGGCTCACTCATGGATACCACAAAAGACAATGGTGGCCCCACTCATGGGGTTTCCAAACAGACACAGGTGGGGTCAATCATGGTACCACCAGACCTGGTGGCTCACCATGGTACCACACGACACTGGTGGCTCACTCTGGTTCCACACAGACACGGTGGCTCACTCTGGATACCACACAGACACGGTGGGTCACTCATGGATTTCCACACAGACACAGGTGGCTCACTCATGGATACCAAAACGACAAAAAGGTTTTCTCACTCATGGATACCACACAGACAAAGGGGGCTCCCCTCATGGATACCCCACAGGGGCACAGGGGGCTCACTTTATGGATACCACACAGGGCACAGGTGGCTCACCAAAGGGTACCACCAGGCACAAAGGGGGCTCATCTGGATACCACAAAAGAACAAACGGGGGGCGCACTCTTGGGGGAAACCACAAAGACACAGGTTTGGTCCCCTCAAAAAGGGGTACCCACCAGACACAGGTTTGGGTCACTTTAGGATACCACACAGACAAAGGGGGCTCACTCATTGGGGAAACCCCAAAAACACAGTGGCTCACCAATGGAAACCCACGACAATGGGGCTCACTCAGGGGTACTACACAGCACAGGTGGCCCCACTCATGGATACCACACAGACAAAAGGTGGCTCCTTTATGGATACCCAAAAGGGCACAGGTGGCTCATCATTGGTTTCCACACAGCACAGGGGGGGCTCACTCATGGATCCCCACAGACACAGGTGGCCCCAAATCATGGATACCACACAGGCAAAAGGTGGGTTTCCCCATGGATACCCCCCAGACACAGGTGGGTCCCCTCATGGATACCAAAAACAGACACGGTGGCTCACTCCAAAGGATGGGCCCCCACAGACACAGATTTTCCCCACTCATGGATACCCCCCAAAAACAGACTTTAGGTTTGGTCACTCCCTGGGTTTCCACCAGACAAAGGTGGCTCACTCATGGGGTGCCCCCCACAAAACCCCCCAGGGGGCTCCTCATGGATGCCCCACAGACAAAAGGTGGGGTCATTCCCCGGATACCACACAGACACCGGTGGTCACTCATTTGGAAAACCACACAGAAAACAGTTGGGTCACCATGGAAAACCACACGACAAAAAGGTTGGGTCACCATTTAAAACCACCCGGGCACAGGTGGCTCCAAATTTATGGATACCAAACAGACACAGGTGGCCCATCATGGGGTACACGGGCACAGGTGGGTTTACTCCTTTGGGTGTCCCCACAGACACAGGTGGCCCCACTCATGGAATTTCCCCACAAAAGAACAGGGGCTCACCCATGGATACCACACAGACACAGGGGGGCTCAATCTTTGGGTACCACACAGACACAGGTGGGGTCCCCCTCATTTGGGTTTTCCACAGACACGGTGGTCACTCATGGATTTCAAAACAGACACAGGTGGTCACTCATGGATGCCACACAACACAGGGGGCTCACTCATGGATGTCACAAAAGACCAGGTGGCTCACTCATGGTTTTTACACAGAAAACAGGTGGCTTCCTCCATGATACCCCACAAAACCCAGGTGGCTCACTCATGGATTTCCCCATAGACACAGGTGGCTCACTATGGATGTTTACACAGAAAACGGTGGCCACTCCCTGGGGTACCCACGGGCACAGGTGGCCCCACTCATGGATACCCCACAGACCAGGGGGCTCACTCATGGATGTCACACAGACACAGGGGGCTCAATCATGGGTACCCAACAAACAAAAGGTGGCTTCCCCTCATGGATACCCAACCGGGCACCCGGGGGCTCACTTTATGGATTACCCCCAAGACACTTATGGCTCACTCATGGATACCACACAGACACGGGTTGGCTCACTCAGGATCCACACAGACAAGGTGGCTACTCATGGATCCCACCAGACACGGGCTCACTATGGATACCAAAGACACGGTGGCTCACTCATGGATCCCACACAGACAAAAGGTGCCCCTCATGGATACCACACAGAACAGGGGTCACTCATGGATACCACACAGACACGAGGGCTCACTCTGGATACCAAAAAGAGAAAAGGTGGCTCCTCACGGTGTCAAAAACAGACACATTTTGCTCCCTCAGGATACCACACGACACAGGGGCCACTCAGGGATCCAAACAGACACAGGTGGCCACTCAGGATACCACACAGACACAGGTGGCTCACTCATGGATACCACACAGACACAGGTGGCTCACTCATGGATACCACACAGACACAGGTGGCTCACTCATGGATGTCACACAGACACAGGTGGCTCACTCATGGATGTCACACAGACACAGGTGGCTCACTCATGGATGTCACATAGACACAGGTGGCTCACTCATGGATACCACACAGACACAGGTGGCTCACTCATGGATGTCACACAGACACAGGTGGCTCACTCATGGATACCACACAGACACAGGTGGCTCACTCATGGATGTCACACACACAGGTGGCTCACTCATGGATACCACACAGACACAGGTGGCTCACTCATGGATACCACACAGACACAGGTGGCTCACTCATGGATGTCACACAGACACAGGTGGCTCACTCATGGATACAAGCAGACACAGGTGGCTCACCATGGATACCACACAGACACAGGTGGCTCACTCATGGATACCACACAGACACAGGTGGCTCACTCATGGATGTCACACAGACACAGGTGGCTCACTCATGGATACCACACAGACACAGGTGGCTCACTCATGGATGTCACACAGACACAGGTGGCTCACTCATGGATACCACACAGACACAGGTGGCTCACTCATGGATACCACACAGACACAGGTGGCTCACTCATGGATACCACACAGACACAGGTGGCTCACTCATGGATGTCACACAGACACAGGTGGCTCACTCATGGATACCACACAGACAGAGGTGGCTCACTCATGGATACCACACAGACACAGGTGGCTCACTCATGGATACCACACAGACAGAGGTGGCTCACTCATGGATGTCACACAGACACAGGTGGCTCACTCATGGATACCACACAGACACAGGTGGCTCACTCATGGATACCACACAGACACAGGTGGCTCACTCATGGATACCACACAGACACAGGTGGCTCACTCATGGATACCACACAGACACAGGTGGCTCACTCATGGATGTCACACAGACACAGGTGGCTCACTCATGGATACCACACAGACACAGGTGGCTCACTCATGGATACCACACAGACACAGGTGGCTCACTCATGGATACCACACAGACACAGGTTGCTCACTCATGGATACCACACAGACAGAGGTGGCTCACTCATGGATACCACACAGACACAGGTGGCTCACTCATGGATACCACACAGACACAGGTTGCTCACTCATGGATACCACACAGACACTGGTGGCTCACTCATGGATACCACACAGACACAGGTGGCTCACTCATGGATACCACACAGACACAGGTGGGTCACTCATGGATACCACACAGACACAGGTGGCTCACTCATGGATACCACACAGACACAGGTGGCTCACTCATGGATGTCACACAGACAAAAGTGACGGAAAGTTTGACTGCCAGTCCCTGACATCTTAACAGACTGAACTATCTATCAGCAGACATGCAAGATTCACTTCTACAATCTACACCACCAATGTTTATTTTCTGTCAAGACAGAAAATAAACATAAGTTGTATAATGTAGTTTTAGAAATTATTATTATTATTATTATTATTGTTATTATTAGTTGTAGTAGCAGTAGTAACCAGTAGTTGTGACCACTTGTAACATAATGCCCAAATTAGCCATTAACAAACTTTCTAACCTACACAAGCTGATGAATATGGCCATTTAGTATTTAAATTCGTAAATAATAAATACACTCACTCTGACTTCTCGCTGCAAGTTCCACCTCGAAGCAAATTGTCTTCTTGATTTTGTAATGAAAATTAAAATAACTTTGATTCTAGTATTAGTCTTGTAATAACATAAACGTCCAGTGACGCCGACCTCCTCACACCTCTATGTCGGCCTCATCCCTAACAACTGCACATTCTTACTTCCTCACATCCCTCGCCACAGTGAAATGACCCTTACAGGTAAAGGGCATATGGATTTTTATGTTAATCAGAAATTCGGAATTCGAAATCCTCTGAACATTTAAATTCTAATTGTGAAAGAATAGTGGTTAAAAGATAATATAAATCTGAACAGAGACTTATACGAACCTTATTTATCAGCCCAGGTAAAACATGTCCGTCTTCCAGGTTGAAGTTATCATAGGGTCCATACAAGTTTGTGGGAATAACTGCAGTATAATTGCAACCATATTGTCTATGGTAGCAATGATTCATGACATCGATCATACGTTTGGCCATGCTGTAGCCGTAGTTGGAATAATGAGGAGGTCCATCATGAATCTGAGAGAAAATAACATGATATAATATAAAGTAATTTTATATATAAAATATATAAAATAATATATATATATATTATAATATATATATATAAAATTATATATATATATATATATATATATATATATAAGTTAGGCAATAATTGCGAACAAGTGATTCAGAATGGAAAATAACCACGCGGGGAGTTGAATGATAGTTCTTGGCTTATCGTCCAGAGCCGAGACATGCTCAGTTTAATAAAAAAGAAGACAGGTTATGGTTTGTCTATCTCAAGAATCAGAAACAGATACATGTCTAACCATCAAAACCAGCGTAAGACTCCCTGATCCCTCCATGTTACATTACAACACTTAAGACGTACATGAATGGTATACAATACTGGCAAGATAAAAATTAAGACATGTGCAATATCTGGGTATCTTTATTGTAGACGTGTCGTCATCCAGTGGCTTTATCAACACAAATTCAAGGACATGAAGGGAAGACAGTATAACTATATACAAAAGATGAGGTAATTAGTCCCTCAGCTTTGGAGTTGGTGTGAAGATCACCGTAGTTGTGAAGATTCAGGCAAGAAGGCTGGTGCTTATATGCTGGCATCAGGTGGAAAGGGACGGGTAGCAGAAGAGGGCATGGTCACTGGTAGACGGGATTCCCCAGTGGAAGTAGGACATACCCAAAGAATTCATGTCCTTGAATTTGTATTGATAAAACCACTGGATGGCGAAACGTCTATAATAAAAATACCAAGATTCTGCACGTGTCTTAATTTTCATCGACACTTGAGACACTCTATAGGAGTCCGGTTTTAGGCTATAAACTATAGCCTCAACTATGAAAAAAAAACAAAATTGAATAAACCACCACTATTATTATATAATGAATGTTTGTCATGTTTTATAATTGCCGATTCTACAATATTCCTTACCGTCCAACATAAGATAGGTTGCAGACATTACAATCAATTCTGTACACACCACCAACACATTGTTGAGGAAATTTTTTATCAAGATGCTTTTAACAGTCCATGAACTGTTAAAATTACTTGTATGTTAACTCTTTTAACAGCATTCAGCAGGACAAATTCTCAGTGTATGAGAAAACCAGCACATTCTTGATGTAAGATGTTATCCTAGACTCAGTCCTATGATAAGTTTTTCTAGATGCCAGCAATGTTGATTCCACGAAATCCTTAGAGTACCACAGTTTCGTGGATATATCAAATAGTTCTCAAAATTTTCATCGAGAAACGCAAGGCTGCATACTCAGTAAGCTCTCAGAAACACGATGAAAAAGTGCTTTTTACTCTTGTCTCTTGTTTGAAAGAAACATCCTAACTCAAGGATCCAATTCAGGAAAAACACACACAACTTTGTGTTTGTGGAACAGAATGAAGAACTGATCAATGATCTACTTAGTACACCTTATGGGGGTATTAAGCTGCTCCGACCTCCATCAGACACTCACCACTTTAAAAAATGGGTCAGTATCATAATCTTTGGATACCCTCTCTGCATGGACCCATCCCATTTGACTCTAAGTGAGCATATCATCAAGCTTAAAAGACTTAAAGGAAAATCCCAAATTATTGCCAGTTGGGTAGGTCCTGTGCCCCTCCCCCGGAATATCTGGGTGCATGGTTTACGTTTCCTAAACATCGAAGTGTACCTACCCCCTAAACGTAGGTGTTACAAATGCCAGCACTATGGCCATGTTGCAGTAGACTGTGGAATACTACATTCTTGGTGTGGTAAGTGTGCTGGGAAACATTCCACTAGAGAATTCACAGTAGGCCTTGACAACCAAAAATTTAAGTGTATTAACTGTAAAGAAGCTGGGGTTACAGTTTCCCACAAGGACTGCAGTCAGAACCCAAACAACCTTCGATGTAAACCTGATAACAGACCTTTAATGGTAACTGAGGATGAGGCCATCCAGTCTACTACAGCCAGATCTGAGACTGAACCTCCGCAAAGTGTGCAAGAACCCCACCTCACTGCAAAGGATTCTGGTGATACCAGAATGCCATCACACACACCAGATGTGGAGGAGCTAGCCATCCCTGCTAGTACATGTGGAACTACTGATCTGCCACTACTGATACCTATGGCTACACCTGAATATGGGGATGAGTTTGTCATTTCTTCCAATACACACAACTACAACAGTCAGACGGACACCACACAGGTAACCCCCCTGGAAACTGGAGATGAGTCAGATGCACAGGACCTACCTGTAATGAATGATGAAACAGACTTGCAACAGGCACCATCAGAGAACACTAATGTAACCATGGTACCTGTTAAGGTGATAGGTGTTAAAGAAAGCACTAACTCAGAAGTGCCATCCTCCGGAGAGGCATTGGATTCGCCTGACCTTCCTCATATTATAACAAATTTCCAGAAAAAAATTGAGCATCTTGAACAGATCCTGACAAGTTTAATAAATATATGTAATCAGGATGATGCTCTTGAGCATGGTGATGATGTCAAAAGTGCAGCAATCCCCTTTCAGTTTCCAGCAATTTGTAAGAAAGAAGCCCATGACTCTTGCCTTCAAGACTTGCCTTTCAACTGGCTGCCAAGATGCCGAAAAATGCTTAAAAATAAAGGTCCTGAAGATAAAGACGTACAAACTATGCTATTTGCTCTTAAGTGCCTGCACACTGTAGTCAAAGCATAATAGTTTTACCATCTTATGAGCAAGAGATTGTAATAACTCACTACAATGGATACATTACAAATCTTTTCATGGAACATTGCTTCCTTCAGGAAGCGGTTGCCTGACTTACATCATATTAGTGTAACCAAGAATATTGATGTCATCTGTTTGCAGGAATGTAGATTGAAAGATGGAGCACCTCCACCAAACTTGCCTGGATATGCAGCTTGTAACCTGAGGTCAACTAACTGTTGTGTGATGTATGTCAGAAAGAACTTGCCACATTCACTCCTTTCCTTGCAGAGTCGAGTTAACATGCAGTATCATGGTGTCAAAGTATATGCAGGCGATTTTTCCGTAAACATTTTTAATCTCTATGCCCCAGCGAACCAGCTTCGACCTGATGCTTTACCAGATCGCATCAATAGTGAACCTACCCTCATTCTTGGAGATTTTAATGCCAGACAAGTATATTGGTGGGTCTATAACAAACACCAATGGAACTAAACTAGTGAAATTGCTAAATGAGCATGATAATGTTCGAATTGTGAGCACTACTGAGTCTACTCACATATATGGTGGCATACTAGATCTGTGCCTTGGATTTAATACATCATATACGATGCATGACTCTGTCATAGTTGATGATCTTCTATCTGATCACTTCCCAAGACTAACAACCGTCAATCTTGATCACATCTCCAGCAATCAAGGAGCTAAATACAGAAGGAGGAAACTTATTCTCAAACCAGAACACAGAGACAACTTTATTAACCACTTGGATCAATAGTATAAGAATTACGAGCCCATTGGCACACAAAAATTTAATGATGATTTAATTACCACTATTGAGAGTGTTCTCACAGATCAAGTGGGCAGGAATAGGAAACAAAAACCCTCCACTATAAATAACAATAAAAACCAATGTAAATACTATAATGATCCACAGCTGCGCAATCTAACACATGCAGCTAGGAGGATTGGTAAAGCATACCGTGAATGTAGAACCCCAGACCTGCTCAGAACGTTCCAAGCTGCACTAACAAATGCAAGGAATAGAAAGCAAGAACTTAGGCAACAGGAGTGGGAACAGTTTGTTAGTGGAATAAATAGGTCCACCCCTTTAAGTTTGGCTTGGAAAGGTATAAATAAAATAACCAGGAAAAAGACTGGCAATGTTGCTCATCCCTTTCCTCTTGAAAAAGAAAATGACCTCATAAATGACTGGTCCAAAACATCCAGGCATGAAAACCTTCCATCTCATATTAGAAAAAATTTAGAGAGTACTTCTGAAGAAATGTTGAAAGTGATTAATTTTATGAGCCAAAATATTGATGAGAGTGATTGCCTCTTTACCGAGTATGAATTAGATAATGCATTAACTAAAGGTCGATCAACTGCTCCTGGAGAGGATGGTATAACCTATGATATTCTCAGAACTCTAAGGCACGTGCCTGATAACCCTTTGTTGGCACTGTATAATCTCAGTTACATTGAGGGCGTTCTTCCTACTTTCTGGACCAATAGTCTCATTGTGCCTATCCCTAAGCCCCAACAGCCTGATACATTTAGGCCGATCTCCTTAACTAGTTGTCTTTGTAAAACTTTTGAAAGAATGATGCTTAACAGACTGTACTACAGAATCAGACATCAACTTTCCCCCTACCTCTATGGGTTCATGAAAGGTAAAAGTGTGCAGAACTGTATTTCCACCTTTCTCACTGCACACACCTCTACTAGTTTTACCATTTTTCTTGATCTAAAATCTGCATTTGATATTGCGAACAGAACCGTTATACTACATGAACTAGCCAAAATGAATATTGGTGGTAGCTTACTCTGCTGGATTATAGGATACCTGTCAAATAGAGTATCCTCTGTCCTTTACCAAGGCTTCAGAAGTGAGTCTAAAGAAATGTTTTTAGGTACACCGCAGGGAGGAGTTCTTAGTCCCATGCTATTTAATATTCTGATTAATGCTCTCCTAAATGCTCTACCTGCCTCACCTAAACATATAGCTATAAGCTATGCTGATGATATCATGATCCATACAACAGGGCATAAGAAGATGAGTACCATTCTTAATGAAGTTCAAGCAATTTGTAATCGACTAGGCCTCATAATATCTTCCTCTAAAACTAAGATATTAACAAGCAAACGACATACCCCACCCATCTATTTGCAGGGTGAAATCATTAGCTACGTTAAAACTTACAGATATCTTGGTGTAGATGTACCCTTTAACAAATCCACTATACCACAACTAAATAAGAAATGCAAAGCTAGGCTAAATGCTCTCAATGCTGTTGCTGGCTACAACCCCAACTAGGGTGCTAATGTGA